TATTTTTTAGCGTATGTAGGGGAAATAGTAATATTGGTCTATGGATCTAAGATTAGGCCCATCGCTAAAAATCTGCTATTTATCAATTTGATCTAGATGAACGCGTCATTGGAACGGTACTAATGGATATTTTTGGTCGCTATTAAAAATTTAGTCGATTACTGAATTTATGTATGCGCCCAAATTAGGGGCATTCAGGCCGACATTATATCCATTTCCCCTATGATTTTTTTTATTAATCTGAGATTGCGCATTTTGTTTATGTTTAAGAACGTTTTTTTTTTAAATATATTCAATCTTTTTTAAACCGGGTTCAGGAAGATTAGTCTAAGCATGATATGTCGATGTAAATTTCCAGTTCTAGAATCTTTAAATCACCAAAGTTGAAAATTTCCTTATATCGGAGATCTTTTGTAGATTGACGCTATCCATGAACTGCTATATATTTAAATATGAGGAAAGGTATTGGCGTTTGTTTAAAGTTCCTACAATTGAAAAACAAAATCGTCAAAACGGCTGTCTACTTAGTATGTGGACAACCCTTTTCTGCTAACAATGATTTATTTTTTTCGATGATTATGGGGCATCTGAACCAATATATATCATAAGCTAGATGTTCGAGAAGGCTTTTGTTGAAATTCAGTTTCACCGGGAAGTTTCCGATACTATGATTCTCGACCGGGACCGAATAAAAGACGTATAAGTGTAATTGATGGCATCCGCTTCCTTCCTCAAATCTTCCTGTTGCTGTCGCAGAAAACTCTCCTGACGTATTTGCTCTTGCCGCTGCTGCTGTTGATACTGCCGAAATTGCTACTCTCTCTCCAACTGCTTCCGTAGCTGGTCTGCGTGCAACCGTTGTTGCCGATGTTGTTCTTGCAGTGTTGCTTCCTGCTGCTATTGTTTTCCCCGAAGCTGTTCTTGCCGCAACCGTTCTTGCTGTTTTTGCTCGACACACTCCGCTGTTCCTACTGCTGTTGTTTTTGCAGGTTGTCTTGTTCCTGAGCAGCGGATTTGGCTGTGTCTAAGCGTGTATGGTTAGTTGTTTGCACCCATTCTTCAACCCGACGCCGATAGAAGTTAGAGCTCAAACTCGATCCTTTTTCGCTCGCTAAATCCTCCAGAATCTTATATTTGTTGTCCAGATATTCCTTATACTCCTGGGCTGCCTTTTCCTCAGCGAGTCTTCTTGCTACTGCTGAAATGCTCGTTCTTCCAGCAATCTGATCAGTTGAAGCTTGGCGCGGTTTCTCGCAAACTTTTGTGACGAGGAGATGGAAATCTCGGAAACTGCCTCCTCTGCATCGATCATTGGAAACTCTACAGCTGGCAACGACGACTTCTGCTTCTGCTGGCTGGACACGTTTGTTGTTTACTGGTCACCGGAACTGGCAATGACTTCAAATATTTTTACGACGCTGGACCTGAACGAATTCCAGAGCCAATCACTGGTACAACTAGGCATTGTGTCGAAGTCTGCTGCTTCCGATCGGGCACTGGATCCAGAGGTGCTGGTTTATGGCTGGTCAACGGAACTGTCGGCGACTTAGCTGACTTTTTTGATGTTGAAGCTGAAGGAATTACTGGATTGCCACGGGTGTTTGTCTCGATTTTCCCGATGCTTAGGTCTTGCAGCGATCTCCGATTTTGGATGACGTCTTCCCAACTCCAGCTCTTGTCAGCATCTTCTTCTTATTCGTATTTCAAGCTTATTGCTCAGTGGATATTAGCTTATTGCGTGCTCTCTACTTGCAACTTGTGTTCTAAATGCACTTCCACAGTTATTAATTGAGAGCTTTTCTCGTCAATAACTTCCTCCGATACTCCTACACAGGAAAAGTGGTGCCATCGATCACATACATCGCAATGGACCATCTCGTCGGTGTCAGGACCTTGACAAGTTCTGCAGGTATGTCCTTCCACAGTTTCCTCCAATATCTCCACATCCGTATTGAAACCACCATCACCACCAGTAGCATTCTCTTCACTATTCATACCATTTTTATTAGATCCTCTACGGGTGCTTTTCGTGTCGGAGTTACCATCACTTCGCGACATTTGACTTGCACCTTAGATAATTAAAACATAGATTGCTCAATCGGGCATCCCTGCTTTTACTCGAAAAGTAACATTGATAGTGCGCTATCCTTTGCCCTGCGTACATTTATGTTTTGGATGGCGCATTCCACGTCTGACGTTGAAAATTGAAATTGTTTATGCCACATCGGTTTTGTTTTGCTTTTTATTAGCTGTGTTCAATCTTAAGTGGTGGAGTAGTATTGTCAATAATATTGATAATGTACAACTGTATTGTCATGAATATTGTTAATCTCTATACATTCCGATTCCGACTCGCTAAATTTAAAGTCAACATCCATCGAACTAATGCCATCTAAACGTGAAATTTGGCTCGCAACGTTCCGATTTGAAGACGGAGCAGCTAATTCTTTAGTTTTGCAAATCGGAATAATGAGGTCGTCATCCTGATCGCTGCAAATAACCGACTCTTTCGAGAATTTCATGACACCGCAGACGTTAATCCATTTCTCTAAGTCTCTTGAGCTGAAACCCAAGAAAATATCATTCAAATGTTCATCAAAAAACAGCTATAGAAGCACCTTTTATTCACTAGAAGCTTGTGAAACGTTTTTGAACTTGGACTGGAAGCAGCTCTCGTACAATTTTGAAAATCCCACCGTCGAAACCCTATTTTGGTTTCTGGTATGAATCACTGTTGTTTAATATAGAAATCGGTACTCAAAGTGTTTGTTCACGCAAATGCAGATATACACGTTAATCACAAATTACTCTGCACGCTATGATTAAATAAGCTTATGTTTACTCACATTGGGCGCCAACTGGACGAACCAAAACATGGGAAAATTTATGTCAATTTTGCATAAAAATAAATCATATATGATCACCATTGGGGTTTGTTCGCTATGCACCCAATCAAGATAATTTCTTTGTGCAATCTAAGTAAATAAATCTTAGCGTGCAAAGTTGTGAATGAGCAGGGAGAAAAAAAATAGTTCACCCGTTGACCGCTTTTCTCAGTCAGGCGCCACATTTTTGTTGCCAGTTTATTTTCCGAAGTGGCAAATCTATGTTTTAATTATCTAAGCTTGCACCGACCGTGCCGTTTCAGTAAACGAAATTATATGATGTTGAAATTCAGTTTCTTGAAAGACGAGCTGGTGATAGGCGAATTCAATGGAAATTGAGCAATCGTTTCAGCCTCTGGTGGTGAATAAGAGAACCATCAAAAGAGTGATGAGGGCTGAAATTTTCACCGTGAAGCATAGGAAGAGGTAAATGTTTTTACCCTTTCTGATTAATTTATCCATCGCAGGTGCTTGTAATCAACATCCACATGGAATATTTTGTTTTCTGTATCGATTTTGGAGTGGACTGGCTGGTGCTTCCACAGCGGTTATGATTTTCCGGATTTTTAATGTGGTGTTATTTGAGCTGTAAATTCGTTCAAATATGTGAAAAATAATAAAATAAGACCCCTCCCGATGGAAATATGCAAGATACGCATAACAATATGCGTTAATTTGAGATGTAAAAATTGTAATTTGGATGTAAACAAGCGGTTTGGTTGACGTTTCCTCTAATAATTGCCTAGCGCACTCTACATTGGTGGTGCATAGAAACAGCCTATAGCGAAAATGTAATTGCCTGTGTTAGATAATTACAATTTCAGTTGGAATTAGCTAGTCTATAGATATATGTAACTGTGCATTGCATTACCATTGGCATTGATATAGATTTAAGTGATCTTGATATTGCTCAAGGTTGAAATGTAGATAGAGTGTGCATAAAATTACTTGTCATTATGTTCTCAACCTAATTTTAGTCCCAGTTGTAAGAGTAGATTATAATGTTGTGACTTACGGTTTAGTTTCCTTTTTGTATAATTTCGGATGTTTTCTAGCTACGGGATTCACGGAGTAGAGTGTATGGTGATTAATATTAGGTTTAGTTTACCAAATTCAGTGTGTTGGTATAAGAAACTTACATAACCTGATAAACCCTGTAGTTATTAATCACACTAGTTTTAAATTCAACTATAATTAAGTTCACTAGATTACCGGTGTGACAGATCGTTACCTGTCCGTCCGCTGTCACTTAGATGCCGAACCCACTGCAGGGTTGTGCTGACACAGGTAGATACCAACGGTAATGTAGATGTGCTCAGGCCAGTGTGTCCAACAGCTCTGATAATCATAGGCAAGCTGAATTTACAGATCCAAGTTGTAGAAGTTGCAGAACGTATTTGAAAAACATACATCACATCATTAGCATGTTTAATGCATTTATGCATAACTTCCATTATGCCTAACGTACTTATGCCTTCGTATGTCTAACGTATTTATGCCTAACGGGCACACACAGCACGAAAACAGATCATCTAATCGAACTTCAAAGAGTTAGTGCAGTATGAGATCTCAACCAAATGAACTCAAATTTCTGATGAGGATGATCAGGACTAGTGTGGGTCTGTCGTAGATCCTCACTGATTTGAAATCGATTGCGCTGAGCAGAGCAAAATTGATCATTTGAACCATCCGAGTGCATGAGTTGGAACTATCCGAACAATCTGTGCGAACATGCTAAATCAACCTAGAAAAATACCCAGCGTATCTCAGTGCAATCTTGCTCCCTCAATGTCACATGAATCAGAGCGTCCTCTTAGAAGAACCTGACCCAGAACGCTCACTAGCAACACATTCATGAAAATGAAATTGATACTGGAGGAAAAGGCGCCAACTTGCAAGTAACATGAGACAATCGTATGCACCTAATTCATACATTCTACAGCATCTCAAGTACGACGTCCAATAATGCATCCGTCAAGCTAGGCATCTAGTTACATAATTGTATAGTAATGACCGTGATTTGCATCTACCTAGCTACTTGAATTCTATGCGAATGCGATCCTCCAATATATTATATAGTCTCAAATTCGATTAGCACTAATACATTTCAAAATTTCCGTTGTTTTCTTCCAGAACGCAGAACGCGTGCGCGAACAGCAAAAAACGTACACAAACAAAGCAATTACAGACATCACGGAATACTTCTTCTCGATGCACAACGTGCTCCAAACGGTCGAAAAGGAGCTGCTGGAAACGGTAAGGAATGACTTTGTGAAGTACCGTACGGAAATCGGAACCGTACAGAAGCAACTTGCCACCACCGAGCGGGATTTGTCGGTGAGTTTATTGACTTAATGGTTTTATTTTCTGATTAATTACATTGTTTCCCTAAACAGCGTTCGATCGAGCAGCTAAAGACGTTCCAAGTGGTGCTTCCTCGACAGACACTGCTAACCGATCTTACCAGGGACATGAAGAAGATGCTGCAAACGGCGCCCATTACGGCCAACTTCCAGGAACCAAAGGAAAATCCTTTCCAATTTCGAGAACTTATGCCCCTACGAAGGGACATTCACAACTATTTTACTCTGGATTGCAATCGCAACAGTTACCGGCACACTGTGGTTCCCTACTTTGTGCCCGAGCCTGCTCCCGTGCTGGAACCGATAAAGTCACCGGAAACGCTTCACTCGCCTGAAGCCACCCCATCGGCGATGGAACATGATGGAAGTAAGAAACCCGGTTTCGATTGGGAAAATCTGGATAAATCCACGGCATCGTCTAGTCATACAGTGAAGGAAATGGACATCAGTAAAATTTCCGACGAACTGGAGAACGTTGAGGAGGTACAGTTTGTGGAGGAGAGTCTTTCGTTAGGTTCCGGAAAAACAACCGGAAGTCAAACTCGAACCAAAAAGAAGAAGAATAAGAAAGGCAAGGACCGCTCATCACATGAATCGTCGCGATCCAGTCTCAACAAGAACGTTGTTGATGTCGGTATGAATGCGGTCGGCAAAGCATCCAGCACTGCTACCATGAAGGTAAGTTTTGACCTCCTAAATTAAGGTCAACCACCGTGCTCAGCTGGTACATAGTCAACTCCCCCTAACTCGATGATAATCCAGGCTATATTAAGATTCAATGTTTAATTCTTCACATGATTGGATCCCAAATTACCCGAAATTACCTTAGAGCCCTAAGTATCTTGTATGGAATTTCAGTTCAAATCAAATTATATTGTTGGTCAAGAAAAATTATTTTAAAAAATCGATTATTTTTATGTACCGAACGATTCGGTTATTTTTTATCGACCTGTTCCGTGATACATTGTATATATTTTTTGATTTTTTTCAGTGAATTTGAGTTTCAAACTTTTTTTTTCAATCATCTTAACTAGTTTTTATTTAGTAGATAAATTATATTAGAATAGTTGTGGAACATATATTGTGAAAATATATATTGTCGGCAGCTTATTTTCCTTCGGCAACCTTTCCATTTGAACTGCGTGTTAACTAGCTGTTCTATTATCGGTAACTCGAAATCATCCGTATTTTGTAGTACGTATGTTTCATTTGATGAAAAACCTGGCATAATGGTTTTGCTCAGTCGTAAAAATGTAATCAGACTGAAGCTGAAAGATTAAGGAATCGTACAAATACATGTAGCGAAGCGTTTTTGTGAGAAAATAGAGCGAATTTAACGTTTAAATTTTTGTTGTCGAAAACAGTCAATGGACGCCGAAGTCATCATTTACCATTTGTAAATTGTTTCTCAATAGTTACTCAGTTGAATCCTAAAGAAAACATATGGACGAGAATAATGAAACCATGGAGAATCTCAAATAAAGGCCGGCGCACAATAGATACGTTTTCGGGTTTTTTGACAGATAATGCATGGGCTAACTGTCAAAAAACCCGAAAACGTATCTATTGTGCGCCGGCCTTAAGTACTGACTATTTAATGGTACACTTTCCCCCCGAAGAGCGCGAGTAATACCACTGAACAACTTCGCTGAAGACAGTAATTTTCTAGGTAGCAAGGATTTCAAGATATAACACGAGCAAGGAACTCACAAATTCAAGCACACTAGCGCCGCGTAGTAAGAAAACTCCACTGAACAATTTCGCCGTTTACAGCAACTTTCTAGATGGCAAGGATTTTAAGTTACATTAAACAAGGATTCACAAATTAAAGTTCACTAGCGCCGCGTAGTGAGAGAATTCCGAACTTCTGTCCACCAATCATTAGGTCTTGATCCACTGAACAACTTCCCCGAAGACAGCAACTTTCTAGGTGGCAGGATATCAAGATATAACACGAACAAGGAAATCACAAATTCAGTTCACTAGCGCCACGTAGTGAAAGAATTCCGAACTTCCACCAATCATTAGGTCTTGATCCAATGAACAACTTCGCCAGAGGCAGCAACTTTCTATATGGCAAGAATTTTAAGATATAACACAAACAAGGAAATCACAAATTCAAGCACACTAGCGCCGTGTAGTGAGAAAATTCCGAACTTCTGTCCACCAACCATTAGGTCTTGATCCAATGAACAACTTTGTCGAAGGCAGTAACCTTCTATATGTCCAGGATCGCGAGATATTCCATGTTGGTCCCTATAAGGTCAAATCCCATATGCTACGTGTACTCCATTTACGCGATTCCCTCGCGTAAACGGAATCATTCGACCAACGTAACCAAACCAATTCACCAACGTAAATGGAATTCGTGTAGACCGAGTTCGCGTTCTTCGGGGGGAGAGTGTAGATTGACAAACATGAGACGGACCGAATAGAGATTTTCACGTCCGGTTGTATTGGTGCGATTTGTGAGAGCGTGTTAAAGAAAAGCTGAGGAAAATACATAACAAATCGTTGTCAAAGTGATTTTGACAGCTCTAAGTTTATACATTTTATAGGTTAGTCAGAGGAACATAATAAACATCTTTACATGGCGATATAAACGCTAGTGTGCTACCATGTGCAGGAGAAGGCTAAAAACGCTAAATTGGCCTGAATTTTTAAAATTATCTAGAAACGCAAAAATTGCAAATTAGTATACGCCTTTTTAAAAGAACCCAAGCGATCGATTCAACCTCTGGTAGTGAATAGGAGAACGTCAAAAAGAGTGTTGTGAGCAGAAATTTTTGCCTTGAGGCATAGGAAGCGGAACACTTTTTTACTTTTCCTGATAAATTGATGCATATGAGATGCTCCAAAACTTAATCTACAGTTGAAGAATTTAATTCTGCAACGTTTTCGCAAAGATCCTGCTGGTGTACAGGAATATTTTTGTTGCGAGAAATGGAAAATGGAAAATTAGAAAAGTGCCTTAGTGGTTATGATCTTCCGGATCTCTTGTGTTTGAATAGTTAAGGTACAAATCAGTTCAGATCTGTGGAAAATCGTACAATGAGACAATTACCGATGGAAATTGGCAAGATGTTGAATGAAAAATGCTTTAATTTGCGTTGTGAAAAATAGTTATTCTGATGTAAACAAACGGTTTGGTTGACGTTTCTTCTTGAACTCGCGTGGCGTACTCTACGTTGGTGGTGCATTTTTTTTTTCTTCGATTATAGTCACTTTAACGCTCTTGGGTCATTCGTGACTTGTCCGGGGGTGAGATTTGAACTCGTGACTTTGGCGTGAGAGGTATGGATGCTAACCACTACGCCGGGGTCGCCCCCAGGTGGTGCATTTAGGCTCTGAACCATTTGGTGGATTATTTTAAATTTTGGTTAAAATTTGACAGATGGAAAGTTATCGATTAACCCTGCTATCCGAGCGTGGTTATTTATGACAGACAAGAAGTTAAATGTTGACAACCGTGGATGAGTTCTTCTCGAAAACCTGTCGATCGACAGCACAGGGATTTTCGAACATCAAGAATAACTTTCGAAATGTCACTTTTAACCACGAGTTAAATTTAACTCGGCAAATGGTTCACAGCCTTAAAAGGCCTATACAGGGTGCGTGACGAATTTTTGCAGTAAATGGCATAAAGGGTGATACGGTCGAAATTTGGTCAAGGGAAAACGCGTGTAAATCGGTGAAATCGTTTATTTAAAAAATCAAATTAAATTTCTTTTTCAAGTTCAATTAGTATAAAATTCAGGAAAAATATTCAGTTACGCTTCCGCCTTTACAAATCCGAATTGCCGGGCCTTACGCTTTACCCCTGCCATCAGATTTTGTACAGCCACCTTGTCCACCTTCTTCGCCGCAGAAAGCCAGTTTGCCTTGAACTGCTGCTCGCCCTTAGCAGTTTTTTTGGTCTTCTTTAGGTTCCGCTTGACAATAGCCCAGTATTTCTCAATTGGGCGGAGCTCTGGCGTGTTGGGAGGGTTCTTGTCCTTGGGAACCACCTGCACGTTGTTGGCGGCGTACCACTCCATGGCCTTTTTACCGTAATGGCAAGATGCAAAATCCGGCCAAAACAGTACGGAACAACCGTGTTTCTTCAGGAAAGGCAGCAGACGTTTATTCAAACACTCTTTCACGTAAATTTCTTGGTTGACAGTCCCGGAAGCTATGAAAATGCTGTTTTTCAATCCACAGGTACAGATGGCTTGCCAAACCAGATATTTCTTTGCGAACTTTGACAGTTTCATGTGCTTGAAAACATCTGCTACCTTTCCCCTTCCTTTTGCCGTATAAAACTCCTGTCCCGGAAGCTGCTTGTAGTCGGCTTTGACGTAGGTTTCGTCGTCCATTACCACGCAGTCAAACTTCGTCAGCATCGTCGTGTACAGCCTCCGGGATCGCGCTTTGGCCGTCGTATTTTGTTTATCATCGCGATTTGGAGTCACTACCTTCTTGTAAGTCGATAGTCCGGCTCGTTTTTTGGCTCGATGCACGGTTGTAGACGATACACCCAGCTTATTTGCGGCATCTCGGAGAGAGAGGTTAGGGTTTCGCTTGAAACTACCGGCAAATCTCTTTGTCGTCTCAGCGGCTTCCGGTTTTCGATTTCCCCCCGATCCAGACTTCCGGGATGTCGACAAACGTTCCCCAAACACTTTAATTACATTTGTAACGGTTGATTTGGCAACTTTTAGCGATTTTGCCAACTTTGCGTGCGAGTAGCTCGGATTTTCGCGATGCGCGAGCAAAATTTTGATACGCTGCTCTTCTTGCTTGGACGGCATTTTGACAACTGAAGAGTGAATTCCAAAATCAAAATAGGAGCAACATTCTACACACACACACCTTCAAAATGAGGGGTGTTCAGGTTTTTTAAATGCAAAATTGAAAGAAATACGTCAAGTTGATATTGACCAAATTTTGACCGTATCACCCTTTATTTGAGAAAAAATACACCAGTTAGTTATTCTAGCAATGAATTTTGTGCGATTTATTTTCTTTCGCAACATATGGAAGTTGTAAGTAAATTTATTGCCTTCCCTTTCAACGACTGTAGTTAGACGCTTCCGGAAACTGCCGTATGCACATTTTAAAATGTTTCGATCCATAGATGTCATCACTGCCTTGATTTTAGCTTTTAGCGACTTAAGTGTGGTGTGAAGGGTTCTATTGGTATCCCGTTGGACGACGCCCTATACAAAATAATCCAACGGATTGATATCGGGACTGCTTGGGGGCCAAATTTCTTCCTCCCAAATTTACGAAATATTTTCCGTAAGCCATTTCTGTGCTTTATTAGCAGTATGAGCAGGTGCTCCGTCTTATCACTTTCCCAAGCCTTTTTTTAATATTATACACTGTTCTTTCAGACACATTTACCGACCGAATTATTTCTTTCATGCATACTCCGGCGCGCAACAAAGCGACAACGGCTGACAGATTGCTCTCTTGTTTCGACATCTTTACGTTTACTCAACATTGTTTGTTTAAATCTTACACCTAACAGTATAAGCTATCCAGTGCTGCCAAATACATCTAAATCATGATGCACAAGCATGAGAAATTACTATTTGAAATTTACTGCAAAAATTCGTCACGCACCCTGTATAAGGATGATATCTTCCTTCGGCTAATCATTAACGTCCACGCTGGAATCTATAATGCTGAAACCTGTCAGTTATTGAGCCCTGGTGGTGATGTTGGCGGGGTAGTCCCAACTGTTTCAATGTGCACTCACCAGATGGTACTGCAATCATATAAGGGTGGTGTATCCATTGCCTTATTTGAGAAAATTATAAGTAGGATATCTAGTTAATTATATATCTTTGAACATGTCCTATAGTGTAAAAACGACAAAATTGCCATTCATAATCGACATAAACGTGTTTAACTGGTCTTTAAAATGCTAATAAATTGGTCTTAAAATGCAATACAATCGAAAACCTATACTGGGGTTAACGTCATTTTTAAATCGCCCTTAAAAAAGCTTAAAACATATACCTATTGAACAATCCTCCCCTTGCATTTGGTAATTTTGATAGGAGCAAATCTAAATACCTACATACTCGTCAACTAAGAAAAATCCCGAGCACGGCTCTGATAGTAGTCTATTAGTCTTCATTCACTAACGTTTTTAACCATTCGCAGGCCAAGTGCGCCAGTCCGGATGTGGAAATCATTGATCGACCCGAGCAAACTTCGAATAGTCGACAAGGAGGCAACCGTCATTCGCCAAGGCGTGGATTTTCGTCCAAACGAACCTTCGGAGGTCGTTTGAAATCCCAAGGGCTGAACAGTTCCGCTCACAGCAGTTCGAATCAGCACGCATCGGCCAGTGCACCGGTTGATTCTTCCCGAGAAGGAAACACGGTGTTTGAGATAAATCCAATCAACCCGGACAATGCCTTGTTCATCAAATTCAGCCAGAAGGTGAATGTTACCTATGTGACGAGTCCGCACAAATTCTACGTGCAGAATCAGGCCTTCAAATCGATCGTCAACCAGCTATGCTGCGATGACGCTGAGGCCGAGGATGCCGAGGTCCCAGAGGATGTCAAAATTGGTAAGCTATATCTGGCTCAACCCACAGCTGATCGGCGCTGGTACCGGTCCAGGGTGATCGGGTACTCCAAAGAGACCAAGAAATATGACGTCCGTTTCGTTGACTACGGTCGTACGGATGAAATTCTCCATTCACGTCTTCGTGTGCTGCAAGAAGACATGCAGGAATTTGAAGATGGCGCGTACGAGTGTGCTTTGTACGACATTGTCCCAGCAGACGGAAGCAAAACGTGGGCCCCCGAAGTCAAGCAAATTATGGTTGACTTTATTGAGAAGTATGTTCGGATACGATTATATTCGACTAGGTAGTTTGTCATTAAATGTTGCTATTCTAATTTTCAGCAAGCAATCGATCATGTATGTAATCCAGACCGACACTGATGGTATCGATCATGTTGACCTCATAATGCAGACCGTCGACAGTCCGAAATCGCTGCGTGATGCTCTAATTTATTTGAATTTGGCTAAACCGGATCCAAATCCGACAAAACGTAGCGAAGATTCCTCACAGCGGATCGATCACCTTGAGAAGGTAAAGAAACGATGGATCCTGGACTACAAGCGAAAAATTGCTGCTCGAAAATTGGAAAAGGATGACGTGTTCAGAACGAAAATTACCCTATCACTGTCGCCCAGTGAGTTCTATATCTGCAAGAACGGCTGGCGGGAATCATACCAAAAGATGCAAACCGAACTGAGTATCTACTGCAACAAGGATGCCAGAGTTGCTTACTTGCCTCACGTGGGAATGGTTTGCGCTTTTTCGGAAAAGGATCACGACGACCTATTGGTATGGAAGCGGGGACGCATAGTCAAAGTGGGTGAAGGTAAATCAATAAATAAGCGTATGGCTCCAAACGGATTGGAAAACGTTTTCTTTTTCAACTCTTACAGGGAAGTGTGAGGTGTATTCGGTAGATACAGGTCATCGCTTGACCATAGGATGGGAAAACATTCGTGAGATTTCGGGGCCATTCAGCTCGCCACCAGCGTTTGCCGTCTGCTGCAAGCTGATGCACATCGAACCGTTCAAGCAGCACATGTGCCGTTGGACAGCGGAAGCAATAGAATATTTCAACGGCATCGCACGAACCTTGTCCGTCTTTCAAGTGATCGTTGGTGGCCTGGTGGCCGATTGCTATGATGTAGTTCTTCACATTGTGAAGCGCCGGTATGACGTCTGTGTGAATGGTCTAATGGTGAAGAACGGGTTCGCTGTGTCAACCGGTGAGGAAAGTAGCACCGTAGAACGTGTCAAGGAAGTTCCGACTGAAGACGGTGCACAGGCAAACACCAGCAAAGCATCCAAAGTGGAAAAGAAAGTGACGCGAGCACAGGTAGAAGTTTTGCGAGTAGTTTCCCCGAGTGAGTTTTACGTGAGCTTGCTGAAGAATGCTAGCGGAATAGCCCGGATGCAGGACGACATTCAGAATAAGATGGACGACAAAATGGACGACGGTGACGATAAAACAACTTGGCAGCGGGGAGAAATGTGCTTGGTGTTCCCGACGACGGCCACGGGACAGGGAAGAGACACCATAGGCTGTGAGTGGTACAGGGGCCGAGTGATAGAAGTGGTTGATGACAGTAACTACACGGTATTCCTGATCGATAAGGCGCACACCATGAACTCCCATTACTCCAACATGAGCACCATTCCGCCGCTTCTGAAAGAGGTAAGTGGGGTACCATACGAAACACATTTCTTTCATGCAGTTAAATCACTTAACGTGTTTTCTATGCAGGTATGTACTATCCATAATCACATAACTGTCCCATATTAATAATAGGAAATTTTGTATCGCGAGACCGGCGCACTAAGGTGGCACTTATGGAGGGGGGGAGACCATGATTTAAGCACCCCCAGTGCGCTAATGTATGATCCAACTAAACATTTTTCAAAATATGACAATTTTCGTCTTTTAAAAACAACCTCAAAACTCTTGGGAGAGGGGGTTGAAAACTTAAACCCCCTCCTTTGCTGCGCCAGTGGTCTAAAGCAGCAGTTTTTTTTTTGCTTCCCGAACGAACAGGTCGGACCGTAACTCCGAAGCCTTCAATCCACTGAAGAACTGTTCGGAGATTGCATCCGCACAATGCATCCGGATGGGATACGTTCCGGCAAAGTGACAACTAGATCTACTGTCTAATTGTCAGATTTGCCACAACGGAGCAGATCCGGATGCATTGTGCGTGGCTCATTTTCACACCCAAAGGAAGGCGGTAATTTCAACTAGCACTTTGGAGCTGCTGTCACATAGCTCAAGCTCACCGTTGAACACCTTCGACTTGTGAGTCAGTTAACACAGATGTAGAAGAGGCAGAAATATTGCACTACGCTTCGTGTTGGTTCACCAATGACCAATGGTACAAATAGTCACTATACTTTTAGTCTGGCGGGTAGAATCTCGGGAACCGATTGAGCTGTCAAATTAGCGAGCATATCACGACCAACAGCAGAAACGAGCACATCAACTCATCGCAAAAATCGGGCGGCTACGGTGGGCTGGGCACGCCATTAGAATGTCTCAATTTAAGACATTGTGGCTGCTAGACAACATTATGCTATTGTTTTGCATTTCTGTTGCTTCACACGAGTGTTGGCGTCGTCGGTGAGCCCTGCAGAAAAGATAGAGCAACCGGCAGTGTTGCCAAATCCATCGCCGTTGTCTGCAACGACGGGACTGATGTGCGATTATGGGCAGTGCAGTACAATATAATATTACATTATCTGAGTTCTATTGTAAACTATATCGATCACCACTGAACTTATAAATGATTCCATTTCAGTTTCATCCGGTTGCCATCCGTTGCTTTTTGGCTTGTGTCGGTCCGTCAGGACTGCAGGAAACCTGGACCCCATCGGTGATTGATGCATTCAGGGTCGCCATAGACAAGTTCAAGTTCTACTCCATTTCCGTCCACGGACGATGTGTGAACGATTCCGTTCCCGTGATCCTGTGGGGAATGACCATGGAAAGGGTCAAAGCTCTCTCGCCGCAGCTCTATATCTACACGAACATCAACAGCAAACTGGTGAAGTATGGCTATGCGCACCTCAAGGAAAAGTTCCCCCCATTATCGGAAGCTTTCTCGGTGGAGGAAGAACTGGAACGACATTACAAGGCGTTCGACAAGTTGTTGGACGACCTGGATGTGGAAATGGAAGAACAAAAAAGAAATGCATGTGACTCTGAGTCGTCAGATGAATATCAGGTAGTTTTGAAAATTCACTATATATTAAAATGTTGCGTCAACAACTATAATCTTCTATCCAACAGGTCGACATATCAGGCGAATCCACACCGATTGATCATTGGTTGCCGGCAAATCCAATAGAGAAGAATATCTTCGTTGCAATGCCAACCTACGTGGACAACAACGGTGTTATCTACCTACACGACGTGGATAAAGATCTCAAGCTCACTGCTATCAAAAAAGCCATCAATGCCAAATTCAACGGAAGCCAACATGTACCGGGAGATAAAGACTATGCCATTGGTCAACCGTGTCTGGCCAAGTTCCACGTCGATGATCAATTCTACCGGGCAGTAGTACGGAAAGCTATAGGCCCTGGTCGCTACAAGGTTCAATTCGTAGACTACGGCAACATTGAGGACTGTGGCGTGGAAGATCTACGCAAGGACGTCATTTGTGGTAGCATTCCGATGCTTGCTAACAAATATCGACTAACGGACGTTGCCCCGGCGCGATCCGATGACATTTGGCCAGTAAAATCACTCGACACACTGCACTCGTTGATCGTCGGGAAGCGGTGCCAGGTTCGTGTTGATAACGATATGGACACCGATACAGTTGAAGTGATTCCATGCTACCTCAGAACAACGGGAGAATTGGCGGAAGATGTGTCTGAATATCTAGTAGAAAACGAGCTCGCCATCAAGAAGCGTGGTGTGTTCCAGGAAAAAGTAGATATTCTCTATGATCCCTTTTCGGAAACTACTGGCAACAGCAATGATGATGCGACGACCCCGAAAGCCGGACGGCGTATCGCAGCCAATTTCGGCACGGGTGCCGAAGCAGAAGGCAAGAGCAAAGTTGTAAGTATTGATAGTAATCGTTTAGCAAAATTGTTCTCACTCCGTGTCTTTCAGGAACGAACCGAAGAAGACTTGCAAGCCCATTTCAGTTCGAAGGAATTGACCGACCTGTTGGACTCAGTGACTGCGGAACGCGAAGAGGGTGAAGACTCCGGCGACAATAGTTCCGGTATAGATATGAACAAGGTGCAGTACTTCTACAGCTTCGGTGATGTCAAGCAGGAACCAGATTCCGGCTCGGAAGATGATGATGAAATAAGGGATTTGGCCAAGAAAATAGACCAAGTTGACGACGCCGACGTGGTTGATGCTTCATCAAATATTTCATTCAATCCGAATGAATTCGATACATCCACCCAAATTGATCCACCGCTAGAAATTACACGTCCCACATTACATGGGTATCCTAAGTTAGCAGTGGACGAATCCATTAAAGGATTCTACTGTGAAGTGACGTACATGATCAATTCTACAGAAATGTTCGTTTATCCACAGTTGGATGAGCATATCCAATTGATGAAAAGCACGATGGCGCAGATTCAAACCTACGCCAAGAAACATCGGAAATGTCCCGATATCGAAACTAATATGCCGTGCTTGGCCTTGTTCCCGGAAGACGGCTTTTGGTATCGTGCTTTGATCGATGAATACTTCCCCGAACGCGCGGAAGCTCGAGTCTATTATGTCGATTATCTCAATAAGGAAACCGTCAATGTGCGGGATATTCTCAAGTGTCCCGTAAGCTTGCGAAAAGTGCCACTGCGGGTGATGAAGGTAAAACTGCACAAACTGCGTGCGAATACCAGAATGCGTGACGGAGATGTCACAAACAAGCTAGTAGAGCTGGTCGAAAGTAAACGACTCTACGCCAGAATAATGGCGCACAATTCCGTGGTCGAAGTTGAACTATTCACCGATTCCAGATGCAACCAATTGGTCTATCGTCAGTTGATCAAGGATAAGTACTACTCCGCAGAAAAGTAAATTGCACTCTCGCCGTTCGACACAATGTGAACGTGTTTGGCTGGGCCGCAGTTAATTTTTTATCCATGTTACTGAAAAAAACATTTCGAAAGATTGACCTTACCTACTTTAAGTTACTGCTCCGAGCCGAGGGCTGGAGAAACGTATGGTATTATTACTTTTCCTTATCCTTGAATTAAATAGCAATAAATGTAAAAACAAAACAACAGAAAGAGTACCATGCTTATTTTTCATTTGAAATAAACCAGAGAAAGTCCTTTTCCCTTTTCGCAAAAGAAATCGTAGGTTTGACCCGTAACGTGGGTAGATCACCTCTAAGTGGTGCGTTACGGTGTAAGATCTACCACCGAATTCTAGTTCCAAACTTTTCAAATCATGGTTGACGAGACCAACGGAACACATACTGTCGAGACCAACGGAACACAGTGGATACGTTGCATTTGCGTGCATTGGATAGTTAACCCATGGGTTATCTGTCAAACTTGCGTCAATGGAACGCATACGTATCCATTGTGGGTGGACCTTTTAAATTAGTCCTATGTTGTTACATTTTAAGTCTTGTTCACGCAGAAAAATTGATTTTTGTTTAAGGGTGTAATGTATTTTGTTATTGATTCAAAAATATTGTATCACTATTCCAACAAAACATATTTTTGAATCAACAAAATGGTTTTCAGAATCAACAAACGAATTATCGACTCTACAACCGGTTTGTTGATTCAAAAATATTTTTCGTTGAATTAATTGAATAATGTATCAATCCTACTAAAAACATATTAGGTCCTGAGTCAAAAGTATATCCATTTGAATTTAAACATCATTTCTCTGCGTGTTGCCATTCCGAAAAAAAAAATTAACTTTTTATCTGAGCGTGATTGCATTGTTACCAACCCGATCGTGTTCGATTCGCTCAAAATGAACGTTACAAGTTCTGTTGACAGAAGCTGATAGGTCCTTTTCAAACGTTTTTTTTATTGTTTATTGTTTATTGTTTATTGAAAAATTCAACTGACAATTATTGTCTAAATGAATAAAACTTAAACTAAATAGTTACGGTCAACGGTACGGAAAAGGCCAAGTAGCCGATGACGAAACTCGTCAGCTGATACATTGAAGGCGAACATAACATATAAAAAAACTTGTCGAATTGGCTCGTATTGTGTATAATGCCGGATCCGTGGTTTCAAAAACAGAAAGTCGCGTTACCGAAGAGATCTCTCAGGGGCATACATATTTAGCTGTGACAGCAGTGTTGGACAGTCAATGTCACCCGTAAGCAGCTTTCCAGCGAACATAGCTTGAACGACCGTCCGTCTCACCTCTAATGGCTCGATTCCCAGGAGACGGCAACGCTCCTCTACGGTGGCAAGTTCGTTGGGTCACGCCAGTTGAGGAAACGAAGAGCATATCACATAAACTTGCGTTGAACGGATTCAATTCTAGTAATCCAGCTAGCATGGAAAGGGCACCAAACAACTGAACTTGACTCCAATAAGGATCGCACAAGCGAGCAGTAAAGTGACCTGAGGCATAGCGGGTCACGGAACACGTCGGCAATTTTTAAAATAAAGCCCAATTGTCGATTAGCTCTGGAGATGATTTCATTGTAGTGGATTCTGAAAGTGAGTCTGCAGTCCAAGGTAACGCCGAGATCTTTTATGTGTTCTACACGAGCAAGACAGCGTCCTTAGAGAACATAGTCAAACATGATTGGTTCAATTTTTCGGTGATATGAAATAATGTTACATTTTTCTATGCTTAGACTCATCAAATTTCTGGAGCACCACGAGTCAGCAAAAATACCTAACATATTCTGGAGAGCCCTTTTAATAATTTTGTAGATTTTCGTATCGTCTGCATAGAAAACGCGGCATCCTGATGGTATCAGCAAGGCGACGTCGTTTAAAAAGATCAAAAATAGTAGCGGTCCTAGGTTACTGCCTTGCGGAACTCCCGAGTTGTTTGAGAAAACATCCGATTCCGACGCGCCAATCTTGACATGTACATAGCGATTCACCAAGTAAGATCTGAACCAATCCACAGCAGTTGACGAGATGCCAAGTATCTCCAGCTTGGCCAGCAAGATATTATGGTCCACCGTGTCAAATGCAGCTGAATCCATGCATCGCAGACAGTTAGAAGTGAACTGCACCAGGTTCGTGGACACGGAGCGCTTCGGGTAGAAACCGTGTTGTTCTGTATCGATATAATTTTTGCAGCGTGCGAACAGAGCACCATTTATGATAATCTCGAACAGTTTTGAGCAGGCACACAGGGAGGTGATTCCACGATAATTTATGACATTCCGTTTATCGCCTTTTTTGTGCACTGGGAACAGATAAGAAAGTTTCCAGCGGCAGGGGAACTCACATTGCTGTGCCGAGAGATTGAATAGCCTCGCAAGTGGAAGGCAGAGATTGGCTACACAACGTTTTAGAACTGATGACGGAATGCCGTCAGGTCCGGAGGCGAACGATAGCTTCAGTCTGCGTGTTGCGGCTATCACCATGTCTTCTGAAATGCGCGGAATAACGAAACTAAACACATCACGTGGCATCCCAACAGCAGCATCCAGCACTTGTGTTGGCGAAGCGGAGAAATCGTTGAACACTTGCTTGAAATGACGAGCAAACAAGTCGCATTTTTCTCTTTCACTATTAGCCGAGTCATTCCCGAGAAACATGGAACAAGGCAATCCGGATTCCTTCCGTTTTGAGTTGACAAACGACCAAAAACTTTTCGGATTTGTGCGAAGGTTCGCTTCCATGCGTCTCACGTGTCGATTGTAGAGAAAACGATTGTAATTTCGATAACTACGACTCGCAAAATTGAACAGTCGTTTGTAGTACGGCGAGCGAGAGTTACAATACTTTCGGAGGGCGGCAGAGCGTTGACGTTTTAGCACGCGTAGGCGTGGGTTAGACCATGCAGGCTTTAGCGGAGGTCGTCGAACTGGGACAATGCGGAAAATAGCATCTTCCAGTGCTGCACTGAAAAAATCCACTGCATCATTCACGCTAGCGGCAGTTTCGATAAATTGCCAATCAATTTCCGCAAGCGCATTGTTCAATGCAACATAATCGGCCCGGCGAAAGTCCAAAGAGTAGCACTCAGATGACGGCGTAAAAAGAATCGGCACAGGTAAACTAAATGACACGACGAGAGCGGGATGATCGGCATCTAGATCAATCAGTGGCTCGACGGGCAAGGAAACAGAAGTGCCCGGTAGTGCGGAATCATTTGCCAGGACAAGATCTAGCAAACGTCCATTTCGGTTCGGAAAAGTATTCACTTGTGTGAACCCGTAAAAGTTAAAACCGTCCAAAAGAGCACAGCAAGCAACCGGCATATGCGAAAGCAGTGGATCAATTAATGGTGTGCCACTGTCTGTAAAGCGCCACTGTAGACCAGCTTGATTGTAGTCACCAAATACGAAAGCGGGAGAGCAGGGACTTAATTGTGACGAAATTGACCCTAACGATTCCACATGCTCACGGATGATCGTGCAGTCGTTTTTGCGGTCGGGAGGCAGGTAGATTGCGCCTACACTAAGCTTGCTTTGTGGAAGTTCTACGACAATCCACAGCTGTTCCAGTTGACTGGAAATGGGTGACGTACTTACGTAGCTGGCTAGTCTAGTAGATACTGCAATCAGGACTCCGCCACCGCGCGATTTTTGACTGTTTAGGGCAGACCGGTCAGTTCTAAAGACGGAATAGAGTGACCCGAAAAGTTGCGATGAGTAAATTCGGTCGTCCAGCCACGTTTCCGTCAGCACAATCAAATCATATTCGGCCTCCGCAACAGCCAGGAAAAACGAGTCGATTTTAGTCCTCAGCCCACGCACGTTTTGGTAGTAAATCCGGAGACCATTCGAGGAGCAATCACGGGCACTAGAAATCGAAAGGACATCAGGTACCGAAAGTTCGGAATCACTAACATACTCGCCTGAGGTTGCAGGCCGGAAGCCCCCGATACCATCACCGACCACAGGACCGGGACGATGACGATCGCGGATGTCTGCAGCAAGCGCGACTGGGTCGGGAGGTTCGGAAGCTTCCTCAGTGCCTGTTTTAGGGTGTCCCGGATCCGAGGAAGAGCAGGTGGCGGCATAAACCTGCTGGTAGTTGGCAGGACGGATGCATGGACATGATGTGGCTAGTGTGGAGATCGCAGAACCGGAAACACAGCTAGAAGTTGAAGCGGTATCAGGCAAAGGAGAAGCTGAATCGTCAATATACTTGCCAGTAATAGCTGGTTGGAAGACCCCCGACCTACATCTACACTCAGGGCCAAGACGACTATGCAGAGCGCTGGCTGGAATAAGCGCGACTGAGGCAGAGAAATCAGGGGCTTCCACAGTACTATCCACGATGCGTCTCGGTGGTGATGGTGGTGGTCCAGAAGCAATAAAGGTAGCAGCATTATTCTTGGAAATCGTGTAAACATCATGAAGCGTTGCACTGGAACACGGAAACTGATCAGGCAAATGACTGTAACTAATGTATGCAGAGGTAACTCTAAGACTAGAAGGTCCCGAAATAACGTGCTCAACTTTTTGGCTCAGCTCTGGTACTCTCTTCGGTTCCAAGTTAATCGATTCACCCCTCGAAACATAGGAAAAACCAATAACCCCTCATTTTATCTGTCAAACTTTCATATCGAATCAAAACAAACATAGTGTAGTACTAGAATTTCGACTAGAATGGGGTACGTTAATCGTTTGCTTGGGACCAATAGGCTAGTCAAGTAGTGAGCCAATTTAAAATCGTTAGTTTCGTATTGATTGTTGGTAATACTAGAGTCGTTGTATAATGAGTCACGCCAAGAGTGAAGCCAAGTCTACCTATTGAACTGTCAAACCGGCTACCTATCGTGCAAAGTAAACAAGCATTACGATGCTATGAAAGGTCCACGAAAGGTATTGCAATTAAATATTAAATATAACCGAAGAAATGATCATATACACGCAGTGAGCATTACATTTGTCATGCGATACGTTTTGTAATGATCAGTAATGACAATTTCTACTATTTTTCTTTAAAATAATTCGACAAAATCACTGATAATAATGATTTACTACAGCCTCGCTAGAAGTCATTTGAAGTTGATGCAGAAGTCCTCTGTTGCCAAGTTAAAAGAAAGGGAATCTTTCGAAAACCGTGATGCGAGTTCAACTGTTTTTCTCTTGGC